TAATTTCATCACAGCCGAAATAAAAAACAAATTATAAACAAAAATAAACAACTCGATTTTTATAATTCAATTTTATTCAATCTCACGAGAATTTCTTTTACATACATTTATATAAAATTTAATTATTAATTTTAACAAATAAAAACATAGCAACAATAAGTCGTTTAAGAGAATTACATATTATTTAATGTATACATATTTATGTATATATTATATATATATATATAGAAATCGTAAAATACATGTCAATGGAAAATTATTTATTTATATATATATATATATATCGGTAGGTAAACTAAGTCATTTGATCACTATATTATTTTAATTTGTTTATACAATGACAACTCTCATAACGGACACTCCTATTAAATGGATACCGCTTTTAAACACTATGCACTCTTATTCAAAAGACACCGCTGTTCAACAGACAGTACTAATAAATGGAAACAGCTGTTAACCTCACGCCCCTGTTAAACAGACATACCTGTTAAAAAGGCCAAAAATTTTTCTAAAGCATGGTTTCTTATTGTTGAAAATGAAAAGATTGTACTCAGAAATATTTAATCATAACGACACAAATTGTTTTTGCATTTTTGCTGATTTTGGTGCTGATAGCTAGCACTTTTGCTCGGTGTGAGTGCAGCTTAGAGTGAATAAGTTGCCTCATAAAAAATCAGGCGATGTGTTATTTAAACGATAGGTTTATATTCTTGTTGTATTCTTTATATTTTTATTCTTGTTAAGTCAGGGTCAGGGCTTCGAACTGGTTTCGAACCGAAAACCGAAAAAAATCAATAATTTTGTCGGAGCGAAAACCGCAACCGAACCGACATATTTTTTTTTTATTTTGAACCGGAACGAAAAGAATTCAGGTCCAGAACCGAACCGAAAGAAACCGTTATTTGTAACGAAGTGAAAACCGAAACCGCACCCATATATTTTTTTTTGCACCGTAACGGAAAAAATTCAGGTCTTCGAATCGGAACCGAGCCGAAAAAAAACCGTTGCTTTTGTCGGAGCGAAACCCGAACCGATATATTTTTTTTGTTTTTGAACCGGAATCGAAAAAACTCCGGTTCGAAGGCCTGCTTTAAATTTACGTCAACTAATTTAGTCTTTACCAGATACTTTCAGGTTTTCCGGTTTTGTAAGTCACCTCCCTTATTGAATAGAGTGTCCGTTTAAGATACTTTTCATTGTACAAAAAAAACATGAATAAAAAAATGTTAGTAGAAGGACAAATGCATATAATAGATATTAATTGTTATTGTACGTTTTTTTGAGTTTTGACTATGCAGTACTTATAGGCTTAATTAAACAAAATTATCCAAAAAATTAAAAAATAGCTTTGTATATCGGCGATATTGAATTAAAGCGCTGTTTTAGATTTTCAGATATTTTTGTACTCTTAAGCCTATAAACACTAAATAAATAATTATTATTTTTCGTTAAATAAAAAATATTTAAAAAAAAATTTATATATGAAAAAATATTGTAAAGAATTAATATCTAAATAAAAGTGTTAAAATGAAAATAAAATGAATATTAAAAATCAAAATCAATTTAAATTCATGACTGAAATAAAATCATATAACCATTAATACATAAAAATTTTGTTTTAAAGTTAAAAAAAAAATATCAGCATTATTAAAAATAATTACATGAAATAGTTTAAACTATTAGTTACATTATTTGTAATTTATCTTAGAATAACTTAATTTAGACTAATTATATTTGATTCAATTAGAGCTATTAAATCGATTACTACAATTTTACTTAAATTAAAAAGTTTGACCATAATTTAGGTAATAAAAATCATAAATGGTATTCACGATATCTAGTAATGAGCTCGGTAATCGATTAATATCGTAACAATGCAAAGTGCCAACAACAAAATACAAGTACCTGAAATGAATACTATTGTTACCGTTTTGCACTGTTACTATATTACTCGATTACCGAGTTTGTTACTCGAGATCGTGAATGCCACTATTGTAACGAGTACTAAAGCAATTTACACTACTTTTTTTTATTTGACTTTTTTTTCATAATTTCTTTAATAATATTTTTTTAATATTAAGTTAAACTCTACCTTTAAAAGTATTATACATTTTTAGTTTTAAAACAGAGCAGAGAGAAAGTAATATAAAATTTGGCAATTTATTTTAATAAAAACTTACAAATATTGCACAGCTAAATGCGGTACGAGTAAAGATAATTCATTTTACTGCACACTTACAAATGAGTATTGGTAATATACAATTAATTACTATAATACTAGCATAATGTAGCCTGAAAACGGGAGAAGTGTAAAGTTTGTACAGAAAACCAATTCTGTTGACTAGGACGGATTAGACAGAATTTCTTTTTTTTATTATGCAAGCAACAGAAAATTAGACAATGATCTCAAAAATTGGTATTAAGAAGTATTGTACTAAGAACAAAAATTTCTTAGCCCTACTTTGAATGTATGCTAGTGAAATAATCACATGAATCCAATCCAACCATCCAACTAATCAAGAATTGCCCAATATCACATTAAACTCCCAAATCTAAGTTACACTAAGAAAATACACAATCGAGCCGATACTATATTATATCATAGAAATTTTTTTTACAGTATTTCTAATCCAATATATATGATATAAACGATTTAAACAAAGTTATGTAAATCAGTAGAAATATACCAATTTTAGTATATTAAAATCTTATTTAATTATTATATATATGACAAATTTCTCTATACAGAAACGTAATGATAGACCCGCCGCCATCCTGCTTTCCTAAAGATCATCCTGATTAATTCAACTTATACTCCGTGATATTTGGTAAATAAGCCCTGGCTACTTATTCAGAGGCCCCCTATAATAATTTCCAAACCATAATATATTTCATTACAGTATGTTTATATAAAATAATTTGTAATGTGATGTTTTTAGTCTTTACGATTCTAAAACTAATTGTTAGGCTTTAGTTTAAAACGAGTCAATAAAGACATATTGTTAAACAAAAAAAGAAAAAAAAATTATTTTAGCTTCGTTTGAAACTTTCAATTGGAAGGAGTAACCGAAATATGCGATGAAAAAGTAGAGGTCCTGACGTAAAGTGAAAAGAGTATGGCTTTAAATGCCAACATAAAAGAGACCCTACCTGAAGTGATGCAAAAGCAATTCTGGGGGGAAAACTACTTAGCTTAGTCCATGTACTACATAATAGGTTTAGTAAAAAGAAATCCATTATTTTTGCATGAAATTGTACACTTATTTAACATAGAATGATATGTTTTAGGTCAAATATGCGTCGTTTGAAGATAATTTCATTATGCCTCTCGCATAGAAGGCCTTGGCCCTTACTTACTTAGTTGGCTTTTACAGACTTCTTCAGTCCTTCTTAACCGCGTCGAGTAGCCTTCGCCAGCCAGCCCGACTAGTTGCTTGCTATCGCCAGTTGGTAGTACCGAGCGCCCCTCGATCCTTCTACTCTACCTCGTTTTCCACTTGCGGATACCGAACCAAACCTTTCTAGCTAAAGCACTTTCTTTCATTCGCACGATATGAAGAAGCCATATAGTGTACATAATATGTTGTATATCTCTACATATGTTTCGGCAAATTCGCCTTTACATTCATCAGGAGAATTTCTATTGCCCAAAATAGACCGTTTCTGTACGATTGTTTCCTTCAGACAGTACAGATATAATTGTTGACAGTACAGTTCCGAGTTAAAAGCTTTGCCATAGGGGAGCAGCTAATAGTAGTAGATTGCCTGCCAATCCCATCAAACACACAGCAAAACCTTTCTGGCCGTCAATCCCTGCTTGGCCACCGTTTTAGCTGGCTAAACGTGATTCGGCCACGATCGTTTTCGTTTGACGTTGTCGTAAATGCTTTGTGATTCACTTTTCATCATCAGGCACCAACCCCTTCAGAAATGGACCGATTTTGTTGCGTTTCCGCAGCGATTCGCAGCTGCAAATTCGGTCCAATAAGTTTTTTTTGCGTTTACTCACACCCATACATCGAGCTTCTTTTTATATCAAGTCTTATTGAAATGGTTTCAAACGGCTTTTTGTGGAATCTTTCAGTCATCCAGTGCGTCTGCCGGTGCATCTTTGACATCGAAATTACCGGAACAAAATCAGCGAAGCCAAAATTGCGCATAATTGACTATTACAGTTGATACTGTCAGGAACATAAACACTATTCTTATTGTCAGCTGCCGAGCTTGCGCCTGACGTTTTCGCCTTTATCAAAGAAAGCCAGCAAAATATGACATATTTTTTCGTACGAAACCTCATCTTTCTAACGCCATCTAGCGTTACCAGATCGGATTTCTTTTTACTACACCTAATATTAATAAGATAAGGCTTCAAGCACACCATTCCGACCATCTCTATATTGCAAAAAAAAATACAATATTATTATTAAAGAGGTTTTTCGAATAGTAGTGAACTACAACAACAAAAATCAATTTTATATTATTTTAATTAATTGAATTTTTGGCTGACCATACAGCTGTTTCGTGTATTGCCAAATATCCATTATCAGTGGTCTTAGAAATAAATTCTGTATTTAATTATTCGTATATAATTTTTTGAGACTGCAAATACCAGAAATCGAACTCGTGCCCTGCCAAATTTCAAGCTCAGAGTCAGTGCACCTTAACCAACTGACCCAAAGCCGTACTTGACTTTTATGTTTGCACATTTTTCTGGAGTTTTTGTTAATTTGCTGTAAAAGTTATATTAACAAATTTACTAGGTGTGTTTATATTAGAACGAAATCATAAATTAGCTGTAGAATAATTGAATTAATTAATTATATTCTTTTTAGTTTTAGTTGTTAAATTTCAATACTATTCTGTTTGTATTATTATTGTAATAATATTACAAATATTGTTAGAGGATATTAATATTAATATATTAACATTATTATATTACAATATTAATATTAATTGCAATAATATTACAATTAATATTACAATAGTATACAACACATTTTGCTAATAATACAATACTGTTACTTTTTTCCAAATTCAAATTCTTAAGTATTGTAAAGATATTTACCAGAAATCAAAGCATTTTTTCTGTTGTTTGTATATGCATTACAAACTTCTCTACTCCCTTGTCTAAGTAACTACTACTGCAGTCATTTGTTACAATCTCCTGACTATTTGCATTAAAGCTTCAATGGTGCACCCTTAAAACAGTTACCTCAACCGAAATCTTATAAAAAGACTCAATTAACAAACTATATACGTTGAAAAAAAATTAACTAAAATATATCTACAAACAATAAGTTATAATATACATACAGTTCCCACTAATATAAAACTGTTATTTATAACAATAAATATTACTTTTATAAATAAATCTAAATACTTTAACTTGCACAATTGTTGAGTTCCTCTAAATATGCATGAAATTGTTGCTAGTATTTGACAGCAGCTGGTGTTGCTGTTGCTGCTGCTGCTGTGTTTGTTGCTGGTGTGTTGGGATAATATGAGTTGGTATATTGTCAGCATCAAAGAATACCATATGTGTTTCTGGTGTCAGCAACTCGGCATTAACAGCACTTGCCACATCGTTATTCAATGTTGTCAAATGGGACATTTGCGGACGTGTTGAGAGTCTTGCAGAGCGACGTAACGTCATGGCTGCATTGTCCACACTGTTCGTTGTTGGACCAGCGACGGTCATTGTTGTCGTTGGCGTTATGGTTATGCTTTGAGTTTGTGTAACTTGAATAGTCGTTCCACTACTGTGCATATGTTGTGGATTGTAACTGGTGGAGCTCGTTGCGCATGCTTGCATGCTGGTTACATGGCTGTCAGTTATAGCCGCTGCATTGCTGGTTACTGTTGGTAATGTTGTATAAACAACTCCACTAACGGTTTGACTGCTGTCGTTGTTGGTATTATTGTTGTTGTTGTTATTGTTGCTTCCATTCGTTGCTGTAGAAATTAGGGGGATTGGAGTTTTTTTTTTCGTTTAATTTACAACTTTTTAAGCAAATAATTTATAAAATTTTGTTGTTGCCTAATTTGAATTAAAAGTTTAAAAATCAGAAAGTTGTAAAAGAAAACTAAATAAATAATTTATATATTAAAATGAAATAATAATAAATTGTGTTGATTTTGGGTTTCGGTTTTGGTTTGGGTTTGGGCTTGGGCTTGGGTTGAGTTTGGTTATGAGTGACGTTGTTGTTGATGTAGGTTTGCTTATTAGAAATGTCTAATATTTAGTGCTTGAAATGTTGCTGGATCACTGATTTTGGATATGTTAATATTATTTTTGTGTTGTGCGTTATTTGTGAGTGTTATTACTTCAATTTACGACTGTTGTTTTAATTGCTGTTATATACATAAATAAATGTGCACAAATATATATGTTTGTATAGGGTTGGAGTTATTTAAAGAAAAAATTTTGTCTTGTGAACAACATATTTTCAGGGCTTACGAATCTCACTCGAGGAATCATCTTGAAGTATAGTTTCATTGTGATATAGGTTACGATCAGATTTCGTTGACTGTAAAATAAAAGATTGTTCAACTCAAATTGTTTATTTAAAATATATAATATATAATATTTTACCTCTCGAAATTTGTGCAAGTATTCTGATAACGGAGTAACATAATTATCAAATCCTAGATTGGCAAATGCATACAATAAATCATCTCCATTCACAGTTTTCCGATTCTCTGCTATACTTCGTTCAATAGCCTCTGATGTTATAAATGAAATAAATTCCGAAACACATTCTTGTATGCATTCACGGGCGTCTTTCGCAATTTTACCATTTTCTGGTACCGGAACTTTCATTATTTTTATTATATTACATATAGGCAGAAAACGATCCTGCTCCCTTAACATAAAACTTGAGCCACTCTGTTTGTTGTCAGAATCATCTAGAATTAAAAAGTTTTTTTACTTTTAATTTTACGAATAATAATAAATGATCCCGATGATCAGATCTTAAGTATTATAACGAGACTAAGTTAGTTAGTTGTGGTGGAGGGAGAGCTCAGTCCTCCTCAATTAACTAAGAAAACCGTTTTGAATCCATAAAAACCTTGTAATAGTGGGTAGTAGATAGAAGATTCAACTAAAATCAGCCAGAGACATTTATAAAGGCAAGAATCGAGTCAATGCTAAAGACCATACAAAAATATAGAAATCTTTGACCCAACACAAAGTTCATTTACTCTGGGTTTTCGGTCGTTGTGATATTTTCGACAATTGCAAGGCAGACGAGCTTGTCAGACGGTGTGGTTCACGTTATCACTCGTAAAATATAAAAAATCTGGAAATATCGTTAACATCACGCAAATTTTTGTTGAGTTCTTTCTGTGCTGAACTATTTGGTTTTAGGAGATCGTTTTGCCAAAAACTCAACCATGGTATTCGCTCCATTTAACATACCATGAAACTTCTGGGTATTGTTTGAGCTCAAGAACCTGTTTCGAGAACACCGTTTCGATACTATGTAGGGCTATAAAAACGAATAGCCACGCACTTTGAAGATTGAACAAGAACGTTGCTATAAGTGTGTTGAATCAAAAAGATTTTGTGCTTCGTCGAATTTTCATTGTTTGCAAAGAATGTAAAGTTGTATTATGTATAGGGCTCTTACTTTTACAAATCGGATACCTCTTTGATCTCGTCATCTCCGATTTGGCTGAAATCTTTATATGAGCTCCTTTCATAAAATAAGAAAACCCGTATAAAATATTGTAATTTTTTTCCTAGGAGATATGGACCCATTGAGTTTTGAGAATTTGCATTGTAGACACATTTTCAAATGGCCATATCTCAGGCTATATAAATGATAGAAATATGTCACGTTTTAAAGACAAATGATTGAACTATATTTACTATATATTTACAGCGTACTATATTTACATTGAATAAATTTTCGAAGAATATACTGTAAATATTCCCTTATAATATTTTGAAATATATTTTTGATTTTGATTAATAATAAAATTCTACATAAAACTCAAAAATTTCAGGACAATATTGTCATTAGAAGTACTTTTAAAAAATTTATTTATCCTTCACATCACACCAAACACATACACATGATTTTTCATTAAAAAAAAAAAGAGGAATATGTCTCATAAATTTTTCTTTTTTAGTTTTGATTTAGATTAACAAATAAATTTTATTAAAAAAATAATTATTTTCAGTGAGGCACTGCTCTTAGAAATAATTAAAAAAAATAAATTTATCAGGTGTCCTACACGTCACTCATACGCACCACAACTCCATTAAATCAATGATGATGACGTAAAAGGTATCCGAATTGTAAAAGAATGGCCCATAGAGAATTTGCCCATTATAAAATAATAACTGCGGTTGTAGTTCAGTAAGAACGGATCAACTTAGGTGCGATTAGAGAAACATTCTGAACAGCTACTTACTGTAACTAAATCAATATGTTATTATCTCTCACACTAACTATTGAATTTTGTTTGCATATTTTAAAGGCTGGAATATTAAAAAAGATTTCCCCAAAAGGATTTGTAAATTTCGAAACAGTTTCGATGACATAGCGATTTTAACTAGCATCTCAGCTTTACCAACTGAGACAACTCAGAACTTTGAATGTGTGTTTTCGAAACCACTATTCAAGCTAATGGACATACACATTATCATAACTTCTACTCAACCAATTTTTACAAAATTGGACACAAAATTTTTAGATCAAGTATTCAAATCTTATAAAAAAACATATAATTCAAATATAAATATAATAATAAATGTATTAAATATATTTTGACTCAATTTAAAGGTACTGTTTTTTTTACAATACAATTAAAAACCGTACATAAAAATTTTAAATTACTGGAAGCACTTTCGGCCAATTTTTGCAGAAACAACAATTTCCTTTATAAGATTATTAAAGGATTTTGTTATATTACAAATGATGGACAATAGACGCGTAATATAAGTTTAAAATTTTATATGCAAAGATTATTAATATGTCATGTATTTCGCAGTTCACAGATGGCGGTGACGTGGATGCCTCTCATATAAATGTAAGAAGACAACCGAATTATTACTATTTGCCAATAGTTGGAGGACGATTTGCCCTCTTCATGTATACGGACGCTGTAATCAAGGTGCAAACAGCATTAGAAGAAAAAATTCGTTTACATCATATACGACTGAGACGCCAAATGCAAATTCCGGACGACGCTTTTGAGCTACTTAATGATTTTAGGGAGATGGACAATCCAAATGCATTCGTTCCATGGGTATTTAAACAGGACTATAGCATAAATAATCGCGTTAAGCAGTTACAGTTTCAAAGGCGTCTTGACTTTTTCGTCAAGAAGTATTACACAGAGAGCTGCGCTGAGCTGAAGCAGATAATTAATTATAGAAAAAAATGTAGCTATTTGACAGTGACATTATTGACCATTATCTGTCTAATTTGGTATATGCTTTGATTGTAGTGCTCGCAACAATAACGTGCTGACTACAATATTTACCTTCTTCTATAGTTAGGATTGGTTTCTGATCATCATAAACCATCTAATATAAAATGTAGTACCTATTATTTAAGCTAAATTATTTAAAATTTACTAATTGCTAATAAATTAATAATTTTTCACTATTTTAATTTTTTTTATTTTTAAATCACACAAAAAAATTCCACTTTAGTTTATTATATGCTTATAATTGAACCAGGTATCACCAAAAGACCTTGTAGTTCTCACTTTTCTTTTTAAATTCCTAATAATAACGACATTTATTCAAGTAAATTATATATCATACTAAGGCTGCCAATAACATTTTTGCTAGAAAATGTCAAATTTAATCTGGTTATACTTGGTGTTGCTTATGCGATCGATTTAAAAGAGGGCCTACGCATATATCTATGCACTTAAACCAGCGAAAAGTGCAAAAGACGTAAGAAAGTATTCTCCAAAGAGTCTTTGAAAACAAATATGCATGAAATTTATCGATTTTACGAAGATCTTCGTCCAGGTCGTCCTTGACAAGACAAACTTATTTTTTTAACTAAAACACGATATTCCATGATTTATTTAATATTTCTATAGTATAAAAGAACCGCATTATTATTCTCTTTTATTCGATCCATTTGGTTTATTAAATGAAATCTTAATCCGTGTCAAGCATCATTTACAACAAGAAAGTCAAGGTAAAATATTTGCTTTAATTTATTTTTACCAAACATAAAACACATACTTCGAGCTTAAAATTATGGAACATGATCAAAGTCAAAATTCGTTAGTCTAAATTCTAAAAACTATCAAAAAAAATCGACCTTCAAGCACTTTCAAAATAATTGCTTTATGGAAATAGTAACGTATGTGAGTATGCTTATAAACACAGAGTTATCAACATTAGATAGATAATATTATGTGGGACTCATCTACAAAATTCAATCATGTAACATTCCTAATTGTTCTGAAAATCCTGAAACCAGGATGGCATTTTAGGTCTATATTGAAGAAAGAACAATTCTTGGAATATGGATATATTACTACCACAATAATTCCATAATGCTTCCATTACCAGCAGCATCATTAGTAGATCACTTGGCAACTAAAAACATAATCAAAAATATAATTCGTACTCTAATGTTGTATAAGCAGTAGGTCTATTGAGTTAAGACCAACACGTTTTATTTTAGGGAAAAAAAGTTTGGTTCTAAGTTTTCTAAGTTTTTTATAGTTTGGTTGCAAGTCTATTTGATATATATTAAACTTTGGGGAACTGCTGCACCTTCAAATATATAGATTAACGAACGTTTCCAATCAAAAACCCTTAGAATAAACTCAAATGCTCCTAGAAATATAATACACCGCGATCTCAACATCCCTGTAGTTATGGATGTTATAAGAAGCCAAGCCAAAAAATCACAAAAACGTATGCAATATCATCCTTATCATTTTGTTAGTAGAATTTTAACAAAAGAAAGAACGTTCATCCATCTCCGCAAAGAGACACCACTGGTACTTTAATCTGTGACCGACTTCAACAAACGAATGTACTACTAAGCACATTCCATTCAAGCCCACAATATTGTGGCTTAAATGATTATTCAAGACCAACAATAATTTTAAGTATATACCCACTTACGCTTAAATATTGTTCATTGTCTATTCTTAAGTGACAGATCGCAATAAAACAAAATAAATTAACAAAACCAAAAAAAAGTTCTTCAATTTTTTTTCTTTGCAGTAGGTAGAAACCATCGAAAACCAGCGTGAGACTTGAACCTACTAAAAGCATTTCTTAGGAGTGAATGGAAAAGATTTCCACAGCATTGAGGAAATTTCATTTTAGCAATCAGGGGAGAGAGATGTGAACGGATAGGTTTAATACCTAGCGAGCTAGGTTCATCTAAGCCAGAAAGCAAAAATTCTTCAATCAATTTTTAGGTATGATAAACAAATAGTCTGCAATGAAGATACAACATTTAGTGTCTGTGCATAATCCCTAATACTTTATGGATGTTTCACTTCTGCATTAATGACATATAGGCGGTAGATACCAGGCAGCCTATCTGGACAAGGCTCACTTAGTATATCTTCTGAAGTTATACAATTTGAATACCAATTGTTTATAATTGTCGTCACGAGTATGTTGGACTTAACAAAACAGAATTTTAAGTAATAGTTTAAATTACAAGCTCTATTTATTCACAAGTTCACAAGAACAGATTTTTTCAAAAAGTATACATATTTACTTCCAAAATAGCATTCGATGTCTCTCACAACCTAAAGCCACATATTAAACAAATATAATATATAGTTTCTGATGATAATTGAATAAAATCAATATATATATATATATATATATATATATATATATATATATATATATCTTATGTTAGTTACATAGACAAAGCCTTTCATGAAATTTTAAGTGGAACACTAAATGAGACACCGATTGTAGTGGCAAAATGCTTACTATTGTAAATATTTTATACACTGAGGTGCTTTTTGATAATCTAGTAAAGCACAGGAAAAAAATTAAACTTGATTTATGAGTAGCAAAATATTTGATTTTGTTTACTGAAGTAGACAATTTTAAACCAAAGACCAAAGAAGCCAGAAAGTCAAGTGCGACCACGACCATTCCTTTGTGCAATATTGCAGCAGCAAATCATAACAATAAAAAATTTCTCTTTCTTCTGAACACGTGTATCTGCTAAAATCACAAGATATAAACATTTTTTTTTTTACTTTTGAATGCACTTATGTATTATCCACCAATTATAAAAAAGAGTCAACTTATGTATTTTTGTTAATTGATATTTACCTCCTGACAAGTCCTCATCTTCACGTAGCATAAATTCATTTATCAATTGTTGCGAGTCACCACTTGAGCTCATATTTTAATATAATTAATACAATTTTAATGTATATTTAATTTTATTAAAATTATATGGAATGCGTATAACTTATTTTATATATCGAAAAACCAAAGAAGATAAAGACAAGAAACTGAGGGTTACTCGAAAAATTGTGTACAAAATTTTCTGGATTATTCAAATATTATTCAAAATTCTGTGTAATGTGGTGAAAATTTGACACAGTACAAAAACAAAAAGCCTAATGCTACACAATGGCGCGTAATGTTTCCCACCCGGTCTTGCTATTTTGCCCAGAAGGTCGCAACTCACCACGATGTTTGCTAAAAAAAGTGCACTTTCTGACAAATTTCGTTGTTTGTTTTGGTTTTTTGACATTAAAAATTCGCCACGACAAAATGCGACAAAGTTGCAATTAAATGCACAATAAAATACTACTAAAAAAAAATAGGGCGAATTGAATTTGAATTACAACAGCATTAAATGCGGTAATTATTTTACAAAAATATACGAATTATTAATTAATTTGAACTTTTTTGGAGATGTAACGGAACTACGTACTTAGATGTTTAAATTTCTAACATATATATATTTATTATCCTAAAGAGGTTTTTTCGAACAATAGTGAACTACAACAATAAAAATTATTTTATATTATTTTAATTAATTGAATTTTTGGCTGACCATACAGCTGTTTCGATTATTGCCAAATACGAGTAATATTTCGACTAATATATATTATCTCTATATTTTTATCTCTATAATTATTTTTATTATTATTCTTATTTTTATTATTATTATTATTTTTGTTATTATTGTCTACATCTCTATATTCTATTTTTTTTTTGTTTTGTATCATAGTACACATTTTAAAGATAGTAATATTATTTCGTATATATTAAGTTATTCTAAATTGCATTTACATAAAATTGTATTTTTCCTAAATAAAATATTTTGGTGGATAAAGCTATCCGGGAACCAAACAACTAAAACTCGGTAACGCTTCAGAAAGCATACCTCTTAGGTGGTGCTAACAATTCTTATATATTTCATATTTCTTTAATTATTCAAAATTTCCTCTCAGTTTTTTTCTTTATCTTGTTTGCAAAAAACAATTAACCATCTCATATAAATAACTCAGACTAAAACAGAAAAATGCCAATTGGCTAATTTGATATGACTTTTTAGTAACGCAGTGTTGCATTTTGTTGTATAATTTTTTAACAAAATACTTACGCATTGAAATACCTTTGTGTATTTACATGTTGTGTATATATGCATATGATTATAATTAATATACATATATATTATATATATTCGTTTTTATGATTAATTTATGTCTCCTAACTCCTAATATAATTAATATATTAAATCATTTGTATATAAATAGTTTTTATATATCCAACACATATTCAATCAATTCAAACAAAGATTTTATTAAATACTTACTTTTTAAGTACGTTTGTTAACAGTTCAGCTGTTTGTTTACATTTCACATATAAAACATATGACAAATAATTAAAATTTTGGTCATTTCCCTTGTGGGGAACTTTTTTTAAGGGTTGCATTCGACATTTGTGGTCTAATTTTAATTTTTCTTGCTTTATTTTTAAGTAACTAAAAAACAACGGAGGCTATTTGTATGGTTAATGAAATTTACTTAGCAATATCAAGTAAATTAACTGGTCTAACGAAGTCAGTGGAAACATACTGTAAAGACCAATTTTATCCTGCGGCTATATTGATAAAAATTTAACTTACACTCTCTTTTTTAAGTAACTCATTTAAGATTTTATTTCCACAAAAAATATGAAAATAAATCTAAAATTTGCACGTTTTACATTCCTAAGAGATAGTTTTAATAGATTCAAGTCTAACAATGTGGTTTTAGATGTTTTCCACCTATCAAAAAAAAAAAAATATGTATATAGAAATAATACATAATGTTATTCGAACATAAAAATCTTGCTTAAGTCTAGGCAGTAAATGCCCAGTAAAGATGTACCATACAGATGCTCTGCGGTATATATAAAGATTGCAGGATAAAACAAGCAGACGTTATACGGTATTGGATAGTGTCGTAACGGTACTGCAAATTAAACAATTAACTGCATATTAGAAGGCTGACATTTTTGTTAAGAAGTGATCAGAATTAAAAACTATTATTGTCCAGTGCAAAAAATCCCAAAAAATTTCTCATTTTGTTTAGCATCAACTTAGCCTAACTCACACACGTCCTTAGTACTTAATACTATACTAAATACTAAAGTGTGCATTCAGAAAGCATTGAAAGTGATGTAAAGCTTCGTCAAGATTTTTATTTAGCATGCTAAATAGCTTAGAGCTATTTTATACGGACAGTCATGTGATGAATGGTTTCGAATTAAAATACGCTGATTTAAGCTACACCTATTAATATATTAATTGTAGTATTTTGTTATATACAAAAATCAATAATACGCCGTATTATTTGTGTGATTAAAAGTAGATTAAAGCAAAAATCAAGATTAATGTGCTTATCTTGTTGTATAATCTCAGATTTTCCATACAAAAATTAATCTCCTTTTTGTCGAGATTAATTTTAAATCTCCTTCGAAATGATTATTATTTCTTTGTGTAACTTTGCAAATTCAAAATATCGTAAATTTTTTTACGATTTTAGAAGAATTGAGAGAGAAATGTCAAAATTGATCAAAACAAACATTGAAAATGCCAAAGTGGGTGAGATTTTTATTAAATATGTTTAAAAATATTTATAATAATACATAATTATAACTTAACTTAACTTATATCTAAAGTTGGACGTTTAAAAGCATAATTCACATATTTACGCTAAAATTGTGGCTGAAATGACGGGGCGTAATAAGCACTTTGATTAAAAAGAAGTAAAGATCGATGTGCATAATTTGAATAACCTATTTAAGTAATTTAATTTAATTTAAAAATTAAAAATTATTGTTCTAAAGTTTTTTCTCTTGATATTTAAGTAAAGAGAAGGAAAAAATGGGAACGTCAAGTGGGTCACCTTCAGTCTGGTCCTATTTTAATCGCATAAATTGGAAGCAAAAATTTGATTTGGCATAATTGGAAGCAGTCATGTGCACGATATGGATAGGGAAATTCAAGAGAGTGCAGGTTTGTTATTACTTTTAAATACTCACTTTTTTTTTAAACTAATTGAAATTTTTATTACAGTTCATATATCCGAAGATAATGCGCTATATCCATTATCGTTAATCTTAGTGCCATCACCAACATCGCCGCTAATACTAACACCATTGCCATCACCAAAAGCATTGCTATCGCCGATTCCTCTTGAATCAGAACGTGAACCTGCAAAAAAAAGTGAGTTGTCTAACAACAACGCAAAGTATTGAAACTACTAACAAGAATATTTTGAATGAATTTCGCGCAATGAGACACAACCAAGATAAGTTCAAAAAATCTCAAGAGGAAGTGCTTCAACTTGAGAGGCACCGAAATGAAATGATAATGCTGCTGATCTGTCTTCAAGATGACAAGAAAAATGAGATCTTTTAAATTTATTACTTAAATAACTTAATAATATAATGTAGATAATAGTTTAATTTTAGTTGTAGTATAGTTGTAATGTAATTAATAGTTAAGAATTAATTTCAGTTTTAGTTATAGATTATAAATACATAAATAAATATATTCCAGTTAAAAAGAACGAAATTGAATACCCACTAACAAAATACGAAATAGCTGTTTGTATTTGTTAAGTCTAAAAGTCGTGGTTACTGACAATATCTCGGTGCTCTGGCTGTCTTCTGTTGTTCCTCCTTTTATACTATAGTTGGCTAGTCCGCCACTTTACATTAATTGTGTCATTGTATTAAGCATTTTATAATTGTCACTGTATTTTTAATGTTGTCGATTCCTTTTCCCATACGCCTGTTCTTGCATTTGATAGTTCGTAATTAAAATCTGTGATGTGTTGTTCTGCTGGATTTGGCTTCATTGCAAGGATTTGGCTTCATTAAATAGTTTGATAACCTAAATGCAGAAGCACAGATTGCCAGAGCCGCAACACGTATTCCATTAATGGTTTTATAATTATTTGCTAAAATTGGACTCTGGAGAAATATTTTTAATGAAGAACTTTCAAAAGTTTTGGAGTCATTACATCGGCCTGGCGCTCCAACATTGATGTACATAAAACGTTTAATTTTTAAACTCTGCCGAACTTGAATTTGAACTTATAATTAAAGCAATAATTTCCTCTTTTGAAAAATTATTACTTAAAATACTATTTCCACTCATTTTTTATACTAATTCCTCTTTAATCTTTTATCAAACACACGAAATAAAACGTCAAAATTAATCTCCAATTTATAATGTAAACGACGAAGATTAAAAATGTAGATTAACTTGATCTCGTTCTCTTAAGATTGGAGGGGTCACAATGTAAATGTAGTATTAGTATTATACTAATATATATAGTATATTATAATATATATATATATACTATATTCATGATTTCAAGAAAGAGCGACGAATGCGTTAAGCGAGGTATCTACTAAACATAATGCCATTAGGATGTTCATCTGTGTGGTACACAAGAAGATATTGCTTTGACAGCAGTTGGTTATACTCTTTTAAAAAGAGCATTTTAGATTCTGCATGAAGAAGGTTAACATGTGATATGCGATGACAGACGCCCGGAATCCGCAAAGTTGTGTTTAAACAGGATTGAATATAATTCCTGTATCTCGTGTTGTATGTGTTCAGTAGACTATCTTTATCTTTACTTCATGAACTCTGCGAGAACCTTTAACACGTTATAGCGTGATTTCAACGGCATTGCTTAACGTCATGGCATTGCTGTACTTTAATGTTTACTAGTCCTGAGCACTGATGTGAAGTCGTTACACTCATTTATCGTATTATTTTGAAAGTGTTCGAAGTCGGGACCAGGTCAATTATTTTTTGATAGTTTTTAGAATTTGGACTTTGATCATGTTCCATAATTTAAAGCTCGAAGTATGTGTTTTATGTTTGGTAAAAATAAATTAAAGCAAATATTTTACCTTGACTTTCTTGTTGTAAATGATGCTTGACACGGATTAAGATTTCATTT